TAATTACCCCCAGTCTCCACTTACCTCCTCCCCCAACATCAGACTGGACTGTAACAGCGCTACATCTTCTGTGTTCCTGGCTACGATGCTCATTGACCCCTACTGTCTCTTACCTGACCCCTCCCTCTTGATCCCCCCCCACCAACCCTTTCCTAATGTTGCTGCAGGCTCAGAGAGCCCAGAGCAGTCTGTGGGTTGGACCTGATGGTTCTGGGGTGGGGCTTTGACCTGTTAGTCCGGGCCGGTCCACATGTAGAAGCTTCAGTGTTGTGACAGAAGACCTGGTTTGTTCAGAACCTCAGAAGTCCTCTTCATCCTTCAGCATCATTCCTCTGCAAGCTGGGGCTCAGACGTTCAACACAAAGTATCCTAACCTTTCTTCAGACAAACTTTTCCACCAACACTCCTAAAGTTCAGCAGTTAACCTGCTTTATAATCTAAACCATCTGTGATGATCTTCTGCTCCACGTGGCTCACAGAGAACAGACGGGTCGTAGCTTTCAGTCCATCCGGTGTGCACGAGGACAAAGTATCAGAGCTGCAGCAGGGCCAGACAGAGGTCCAGATCCTGGGGTGTCCCTCTGGTTGGGCTGCCTAACCACTACTCCACACTTCTGACCACTACACTCCCCCACTCCCCCACCCCTGCTGTGTAGAAGGATGACGTCAGAGCAAAGGAGTTGTGTCACAGCTGTCACATGTAGACCAAGTTTCTTCTCAGTAGCTGACCGATGTAGCAATAAAAGGTGTCCTCTGGGTGTGTGTGTGGGGAGGGGGGGGGGACGTGTTATTGGGAGACTTTTCAAATTTTTTATTCTATTCGTCATTTCCAGCCTGTAGATGGTGAAGCTGACCCTCGGTCTGCACGGAGCCATCCTCCCTAAATTCACATTTCCCTGCAGCTCTGGTGCGTTCCTCTGTTGGACTTCAGGTCTGTTTGATGCTCTGATTGACAGGTCAAAGCTTTGGGTGGGGGGGGGGGGGGGGTAAGCTAACTTTGCAAACTAATCAGCATTAAGTTCAGTTTCCACTTCTCTAACAGGAATCTTCTTCTCTCAATCTGTTACTTTTATTTCTCACAGCCCCCCCCACCCCCACCCCCGACTCTAACTTCTGCACAGTAGTTTGACGGACGAGGTGCTCGTGTTGCTCTCTGATCATTTCATAAGAATCAGTAGCCCCCGGTCTCTTGCAGTCTTTAAAGCTTGGCACTTTAGAAAAAACAAAACGAGTCCAGTCGTCCGCGGCAGGTCTGAGGAAAAAATACAAAAACTAAAAAAATACAAAAAAAAAAAGACAAGAAGCAGCTACTGGTCACTCAAAGTGACACCAGCTGTAGACTCCGCCTCTTGTTTTGGATTTTATTTTCATAAATGTTCTGTTGGAGCAAAAAGACAAAAAACTGAGTATATCTATCTCGTCTATTTCTATATCTGTGTCCATCAGACAGACAGGCAGACAGACAGGCCTGTTGAGGGGAGAGTGGGGGTGGGAGGCTCTGACACTACCCCCCCCCACACACCTCAGGTGACTCTCCTGCTGTCATTCTGTGCCTTTGTGACCCTTCCCCCCCCCCCCCCCACCCCCCCACTCAGGCCATCCTCCTCCTCCAGCGGTGATTTCAGCTCCCACACGTTCCAGGAGAAAGGGGGGCACGTAACCCCCACCCCGCTCTCACCATGTCTGCTGGTGCTGCCTCTGTCATGGAGGAAACAAACACTGGTAAACCCCCGTGGCAGCTTCCAGTCCCCCCCCACCTTAAACAACAACCAATGGCGGGGAATGGGGGGATGTCTGGGCTTGATGCATGTTGTTTTTTTTATGATTTTTGACATTTTACTCTTCTTGTATGTTTGTGTTTGTTGAATGGAGCCACCGGGGGGGGGGGGGTTGGGGATATTTTAAAGAATAATTGAACCAATGGCAGCTTCAGGTGATATCCTCCACCTCCTGGTGGTCCGTCCCAATAAGACGAGTGTTACCCATCGATGAGGGGACCTCTTACACAGCAATATGACCATCCTGTGCTTTCTGAGGGGTGGGGGTGGGGGGGTGTTGAGGTTTCTCCTCTGTGGTGCTTCGTTGGCGACCAACACGTTCGGTTCCTGAACCTCCTACCTGCACTCTCTCCAGGAGGTTCTGAACATCTAGCATCAGTTATTCTGGGTTTTGGTGTAGGTCCTCTGGAGTTTACGTTCACGACTGTTGGAGCCAAGAAAACGTTCTCAAAGTTGGTCCGGTTCAAAACAGAATGATTCTCTCGCACAGAACCTCCCGGCAGAAAGCGACACAAAGACGAGGCGGACGGGGCCACGGATGAGATTTTTATTCCAAGTGCACACACTGAAGGAGTGTTACTGAACGAGAACGCTCTGTTGGACTTTTAGAGTGGAGTTCCTTTAACGACGTGCCTTGGAGAAACAAATGATTTTCTTTGAAAAGCTCGACTGTTGGAGCGGTTCGCCTGCAGCGCACCGACGTGTGGGTCAGAGGAAACCCGACGGGACTGAAGCAGAACACGTTCTTTATGTTGCTGTTGCACAGAGATTAGCTTCGGTGTGGAGCCGCCAGCCACCGCTGAAGTCCACAAGTATCAAAGCCGGAGCCGTCAGCAGAGGACGGCCTGCTGACTCACGGTGCTCAAACTCTCACCAGGACTTCCATGAAATTATATTCCTGCCAAACAAGCCACTTTTAATCCTTCCATCGTTCAGTAGCAGTCTGTGATCCACGATGAATAGCTTTAACTACCTGTAGGCTTTAGTCAGCTTCCAGCTTCAGCTCTTTAATTTTGCATCTTCGCTTGTTAGTTCTAGTCTCAGACGAGTCATCGCCGCGACGAGCGTCTCCTCGGCCACAGGAGCCGGCTGGCGTGGCTCGAGTCGACGCCGAGGAGCTTGGGTTTGAAAGGCTACGCAGAGGAGGGAGAGTTCTGTGCCAGAGACCTGTGAAAATGTTCCCTTTTGTACCGAATGTGTAACCTGCATTCACGTGTTTATTTTGTGTGTATGAGCGTGTGTACACGACTACCTGGTGCTGGCTACATTCCAGCAGACACTTGAAGGTATTGTGTATTCTCTCATTGTAATATAAATAAAAATGTTTTCTACATAAATCCAGCACAGTGGGGTTGTTCTTTATGTGAACATGCAGCAGCAAGAAAAAGATGGCAGACGTTTAAATGTTACGAGGCTTCCTGTTTGGTTTGTGCAGCTGCAAAGTCGTTTTCTGCAGCCAGGAATATTTTAAAGGTCAGAGTTCATGTTCAGTTTGTGTAGAAGCAGAGAGACGAGTGGATAAAACATCACTTTTTATTCAAGCTCAACCTGACAACAATAATTTAAAGAACACTTTACAATAATCTCTGAACGTGTTGCCGAGCATCATTTGTTTTAGGATAAGTGTTAAAAATAAATCTGAATAAACGTCGTCCCCTAAAGAAAGAATGAAAGTACCAAGTCTTCCACAAACTGAACAAAAAACAAAAAAGACATCTGGCTAATTCCAACTCGAAGAGAATGCAGTCGTTGAAATGTTTATATTTTATTTACATGACTAGATGAAGTTAAAACGAATGAATCAGTGTTGCACCTCGGTGACGGGAACAGAACGATAAATGTGAGCGCGGAGGACCCCACGCTCCGACAGCTGTGATTGTTGACGTCAGTACAGGAGCTGTGCTTTCTGAGCAACGACACGTTTCATTTGAAGTTTCACGTCTCGACCCTTCAGCCTGATGAAAGTAAACTCATGATTTGGTCTAATGTGCACGTGCGGTGTAAATATGAGAAGTTACGATGAACCTGACTTCTATCTCACATATCTTCAGAACCTGAGAGTCGACCAAACGTACAGTAGGTGCCGACAGAGAAGTCTCACAGTTCACCATGAAAAGGCGGCGTGCTCCGGGCCCCTCCTTCAGACGTACTGCCGGGGCTTCTGAGGGCCGGAGGCGGCAGCGGAGGCGAGGCTCTTCGCGGCCTCCTTGGCCTTCTCCGACGCATCCTTCATGGTGTCCCTGAGCAGCCGCTGGGGCGTCTCTCCTGAGACAACAAGATACACACACCGTTTATTCTCCACGGGCTCTGACAACAAACACAAACAGTCCTGTCTTTACATCCTCGTGTCATTAGATCATTGAAGTCCTGGAAGGACCTGGAAGAAATGCATATCACCCGCCACCTTCCATGTCCAAGTTTCAGACTGACTCATCCCAACTCTAAAATAACATTAAAGCACGATCTCATGCAGTGTCACACAACTCTCAGCTACGCCAGAGTCCGTCTTTCTGTGTGAATGCATCATCTTCCAGGGTTTAAACCAGCCCGACTGGATCTGCGTGACGTTCAGATGAAAACATTATGGTCTGCACGACACCTAGCTGAAACGGCTACAACCCCTCCTTCCTCAGTGGAACGCTAGAACAAGCTGTGGATTCATGGCCGAGGAGTCTATTTGCATCTGCCCTGAGAGTGAACCCTTAACCTGAAGTGAGAGCAACGAGCAGAACCAAGACAGAACGGGCCGGGTCCTCTGCTGTGTGGGAAACACTGCTTTCTGTGATGAGAGGAGAACACGAGGAGCCTATGATGAGTTCTGGCTAAAGGGGTCTGTGTGCGTGTGTGTGTGTGGGGGGGGTCGTCTATGGTGGGTGAACTTGTTTTGTTTATCAGCAAAAATCAAGGAGCACATGCAGAAGAACTGTCGGTCCCAACATGTCCAATCACAGAAGAACCAAACTGAGAAGAGCAACACTTTAGATTTTCTCTGCGCTACATCACTGCTAACAGTAAAGTAATCTGTTTTAGGAGCATTTTAGTAAAGAATAAAAATTAAAAAATTCACTCCATCTAGCCAAAAAAGATCAAGAATGCAGAAACTACAAAATCAGAAAAAGAAATCAGACAAGTTTTAAAGTCTTCATGTCTGATAGCACAGAACCACCTCTGGTCCAGTATTTTCAGTACAGTGGTCCCTCGTTTATCGCGGGTGTTTGGGACCACGCCCACCTGCGATAAGTGAAAACCCGTGAAGTAGAGATACGGTAGTCCAAGTTCAGTAAACTTTGTCATGACGTGTGCCAGATTGTAATCACACTCATCACCTGTTACTCCCAGTCTCCCTCTTTAAATAAACAATTTAAAAACTAATATTTTAAATATTAGTTTTTAAATTGTATAGAAGAGAAGTGCAGCAGGACATCAAAGGGATGTCACACAGCTTCAGCTCTGCAGCAGAAATGAACTTGATCATTTACACCGAAACAACTGAACGTAGAAGTTCTAAAATAATTAAAAATAACTTAACACTTTAATATTTTGTGCTTATGATGATTTTTATGATGTGACATACTTGGAATTTTAAGTTGGAAGACAAAAGTCAGTCGGTGCGTCTGGACAGCAAAGAGTTAAGCCTTCACAAAGCTGCAGCAGGAAAAACGTGTGGCAGAGAAGGAGATCAGCTGATCAGCTGCAGGACGGAGCTTTCTCTTGCACTTGTGGGCTGCACACATGGCGCAAAATCATTTAAAATGTATTTTAAATAAACAACCCATGGCTCATCAATCAGCCAATTGTGTCGTATCCAATCTTACTTTGAAAATCCACAATATAGCGAACCGTGAAGTAGCGAGGACCTACTGAATTTGCTGCAGCTGGCAGCAGCAATTCAGACAGACTCGAACACTGAAGATGATTCAGGACAACGGTAATTCATAGTTTGGAGGAACACAGCTAACATTACTGGAACTAATTGAGTCTTACTGTAGCTACAGGTACCTAAACACCACAAACGGGGGGACGTCACCTCCTCAGCAACAGTCTACTGAGGCTCAACCTGAGGGACAAAGTCCTGGGGTGTCAGACAAATGTCTCCCTCCTGACATACTCACCACAACGCTCGGCCTGAAGCCAAGTCCTGCAGCGCCGCCAACAAGGGGGCAGAACCACAAGCTTTAGACAAGTACACGCTGCTCAGCACCACACGGAGCCAAACCCTGAGCTACAGTTAGAAACAGACACTTTCACAAGTTCAGAAGAGACAAACCACTCGTTTAGAGCTGGAGCTGTCGGTTAATCACTTTCGTGTCTTTTATCCACTCACAGTTCTCTTGTTGATCAGGGGAAAAAAATCTAACTTGGATTTGTAATTGGAATGTTGCACTGATTATGGAAGTCGATGGCTGGTAATAAACAGTTTTCTACTGGTTGCAGTCTGTCTCGTCTCTGAAACGCACGTGAGCGTGCACATACCTTGTAAATTAGACAGTGCGTACTCCAGCCCCTTCATGGCTTTCACCTGGTTACTCTTAAAGCGAGCCAATCCAAACTCCTGAGAACACACAGAACAGAAAATGTATAAAAGATGTAAAAAATAACCAACAGCTGACCTTCAGCCATATTCCAGAAATATTTTACAGCAGATTGAGGCTAGCATTATTTTAACACCAAGTTCAAGCCTCTATTGATCGCCTCGAAGCAAATCAGAAGTCATGGCCCAGAAGAGCCAAGACCTAGTATAACCTTTGACCTTGATTTGTGCCCTTGACCTTGATGAAAAGCATACATGAGGTTATACTAGAATATGCTCGTCGTTAAAGCAGGCAGATAATAAAAACAGTAAAATAAAAGAACACGTTGACTCCTCGATTAGATATTCACAGAGTGAAGAGCAGAAATGGAAAGGCTCCAACAGGAGGTGGTGCCTTTGTCTTCACAACATGCTTCAACAAGAAATGACATTTTAACAATAATAACAAGTAGTTCTCCAGGATTGACTCTTCATCATTTCCAAGATGGAGGGAACTCGCTCACCCTCAATCGTTTCATTGTCAGAGACATTTCAGAAATATGAAGTTTGGGCTTCTAAAAGGTCAAGTTGTTGCAAACATGCAGGTTCAGGTTAGTTTTCATCCACATACATGTGTCACAGACTTCAGCTTCACAATAATAGAAAAGGAGGCTCCTTTTCTCCCTGCAGCTGCAGGACAAACACACCTGAATGGGTTTGGAGAAGCCAAAGATGCTTGAGGAAATCCACGCTTCACGCTTCAGTTGTGTGGCTCCTGACTGCGCCACAGAGTCTTGGAAAACGCACCGTTCTTCTACAGACTGCACACAGAACAGGGACAGCAGACTGATGTCAGGATCAATTTGTTGATTTGATGCATCACAAACAACGATGAGTCCAGCTGCAGGCAGGAGGTGGAACACCTGGAGAGCTGGTGCAGGAAGAACAACCTTCATATCAACGTGACGAAGATGAAGGAGATGGTTGTGCAGAAGAGACAACACCCCCCCCCCCCGAACATAGGAGGATCTATGGTGGAAGTGGTCTTCAGCTACAAGTACTTGGGTGTACACATGAATGACAACCTCAGCTGGGACAACAACACTTCCAGCCTGATCAAGAAAGCACATCAGAGACTCTACTTCCTCAGACGGTTGAGACGAGCTGGTCTGGGAAGCTCAGTCCTCACCTCCTTCTACAGGTGTGCAGTGGAGAGCATCCTGTGCTCCAGCACCAACGTGTGGCATGGAGGCTGCACAGCTGCAGAAAGAAAATCTTTGCAGAGAGTGGTGAAGGCTGCACAGAAGACTGTTGGGAGTCAGTCTCCCCACCATCACAGACATCTACACCTCTAGATGTAGGAAGAGAGCCACCTGCATCATGAAGGACCCCACTCACCCAGCACACACACTTTTTGCCCCGCCCCCCTCAGGAAGGAGGTTCAGGAGCATTAAGAGTAGAACCACTAGCTGAGGAACAGCTTCTACCCTGAGAATGTTAGACTCATGAATCTCTAACCAGGAAAATCACTGTGAGGAAAAAAAATAAAATCACTAACGCCACTTGATTGTTCTGTGCTGCTGATTTATTTTACGCTGCTGATTTATTTCACGCTGCTGATTTATTTCACGCTGCTGTGATCCTTCGTACTCATCTGCTCACACAGACTCATGTTCGTGCTGCTGTTCGGCGTATTCTTTTTGCACTACTAGTGCTTAGTGCATTTTTAGTTTGAATGTTTTTCTTAGCTCATATCTTAGATCTTATTACTGTTTTTCTTTACAATTTATACTTTTGTTGGATGTAACTGGGACCCTGTGTACACAATGTCGTTCCACCTCATGTACTAAGTATAATGTGAATGACAATAAAGAACCTTGACTTGACTTTGTTTCCATCCGATGTCGGACAAAACAATATGATCATCCAGAAGGTAAAAGGAGTTGAGAACATTCATTCGCACATTAAAGCTGTGAAACATATGTAAAGGTCCTACGTCACAAAGACACAACTCTTTCTTTCAAGATCTAACCGACTTCATTAATTCATGAAAACAGAAAGAAACTTGTTCTCTCCAATATCAGCAAGGTGAACAGATGGAAATCAAACCAACATGGCCGTCACAACTAATTGATCATAGCCAACACAACTTAGCTATAACCCAGTCAGTTTTACAGAGAATGAGTCTGGGGTAGTGGCAGCTGAAAACATACTTGAAGCAGGTGTCAACAGAACCTCACACTATCACGAGGTCGGACATGACGACAGAACGTCTGAGCCAAACAGCTGTAACTTGGTCTAAAACTGTGGGCCATGAAGGTGTTCTGTGATTTACTGATGAGCCACAGAAGCCAGGCCCAGACCCAGAGACTGGTCTCACTCTGGTGGAAACATGATCCTACCTGGATGTTCAGGAGCTCCTTAAACTGGAAACAACTGGATTGACCCTGCTACGGCCAACTTCAGTAAAATATGACACTTCTCTGATCATGCTGGAGAGTTGCAGAATATGTTATCTTAATGTTAAGGATTTTAATCTCTTCAATCTGGATGGCATCATTGTTGTTTTTATTTTAATTTATTGTCTTGTTTTTTGTGTGGTTGTTGATGCCGTTATTGTCATTTTGTTTCTTCTTGTTTGCATTACATTTCTAATAATGTTTTTATTTGTTACTTTTCTTTCTGTGACTTTGTCTGTATTGTTGTTTGATAAGTTTGTTAAAAAAACAACCGAAACAAAAACAAAGTTCAGAATGTGCAGCTGAAACGGACCAGAGAGCTCACCATGACTTTAGTGTGGTTGAGGTTCCAGGTGTAGGTGGTCAGACTCCTGTTGACCGGGTCCACGATGGAGTCCTCCACGATGTACACGGAGCGAGACATGCCGGCTGGGAAGAACCGCTCCGCCCAGCGAGGCAGCCGATTGGTCTTCATCAGGAGGCGCCTGGACAGGAGGCGCTGGTCCGCAGTCACCTCCCGGTACACGACGTCCTCAGTGAGAACATGAGTGCTGAAACACACAGACACACAACTGCGTCAGCATGACGGCTTCAGGTGCGTTTACAGATGCAACTTCTGATAAAAGGTATGATTAAAAAAAAAAAGGTACAGAAGTAAAGCTGGTTAGTAAAACTCAATTTTCTCATTTGTAATGAGATGAAATATGTCGTAAATAAACCACATGTGCAACAATACTTTGTTTTTCTTTTCTTCTCAGCTCTCTGGTCTGATAAGACTCTGTAAGGTTTCAGGTTTTCCAGACTACAGATACAGCATCGTCACTTTAAATCACTTGACACAAAGAATACTTCCCCTCATACTTTATTTATGACTTCAGGTGTCACAGCACAAAGACAAATGTTCCAATGCAATAAATAAATAAATAGAATGTTTTATTTAAATTATCTAAAGACTGTTGAATATACAAACTGGATTCCAAAAAAGTTGGGACACTAAACAAATTGTGAATAAAAACTGAATGCAATGATGTGGAGGTGCCAACATCTAATATTTTATTCAGAATAAAACACAAATCACAGATCAAAAGTTTAAACTGAGAGAATGTATCATTT